TAAATTCGGCTAAGATGAACTATTCCGCCGTTTCGGCAATGGCGAAATGCGGCTTGATCAGACAAGTACACGGACCCACGTGAGATAGGCATTCAGGCGGACGTGCTTAAGTCGATTCGAAAAATGATTCTGAATTAAATATGAGTGCATCTGGTTGCTGTATAAACGGTCGCACGAACTTACTATACCATATACAACAAGTAGTGTAAAATGTAAAAACGTATACGAAATTCTTATATATACATATATATATATATGTAATGGAATAATAGCGACTTCAATGGATACAGTCGTCTCTGCATTAATCTATTACTTCTTGTATTTTAGTGCATTCAGAAAACTGCCAATGAAAGAGAATGTCGAAGAAGTCTTTAATGCCAAATAATCTAATAGTAACTTGAATGAGTAAAACATTTCCCTCTAACGAGGGATCGAAAGTTGTTTTATCTTTATGTACGAGTTATATAACCTATTATCGATTATAGGTAATTAATCTAAACGCTTGCAAAGTAATCTAGAGGAGTATTCAAGCGTAAGGTGGAAATGCGTGTTGCATGGTTTCTTTAGCTTTCAAGTCGAATGCTTATGCATAAAATCAGTTAGTTTAGATTTTGTACATTTTCTTATTGATTAAGAATTCAATCTGCTTAACTAGTTACCTGACCTCAATACAATCAAAGGTTTGTAAAATCTTTTGGTGAATGCGTGCAAGTCAGCTTGCGTTGCAATTAAACTTTTTATTGGAAATCAAAAGTGTAATGATAATAATTTATAGTGTGCTTACAAAACACCAATCGTAAATGCTTAAATATCATCAGTTCGCCTCTTATTATGCATATTTATTTATGTGCATGTATATCACCTTAAAATCTTTTACTTTCTATTAACTATTAGTCTTGAAACGCTTCTAATTTAGTTTCATCTACAAAATGATGTTTGTCTTCTGTCAGTTGCGACTGTTTCGTAATTTGTCACACTTACGCGTCTACAGCCATCAGTGAAGAGCTTTAAGTGTTTGCATTACAGATTTACAGGTTCTTTAGTTTTTGCATAAAATTAGTTTCGGGGGTAAACTCATTAGTCAGGTTGCCAAAGGTTATAGCATTAATGTGACATTAAAGGATTTACGAACCTCAACAATATTGCAAATATATTATAATATAACATGTGTAAATCGTTACGAGGAAGTAAAAGACAAAAACATATAGACAAAGAGAGAGAGAGAGAGAGAGAGAGAGAGAGATTATACAATTCTACAAATACAAGGAGTAGCATACACGTGCTTAATTTTGTTAAATAAATTACATGTTATGCAAAATTCAGCAGAGTTGGCAAAGACAAAAGGCAAACTTCCCAAGTAATAGTAATGGGAGAGAATTTATATAGATTTTCTAAAGTCAAGTCACGCACACACTCACGTACGCATTTATATATTAAAATTTCGAAATGATTACTTTTACTAAGACTGAAAATACTTTTAAGGATACATTGATGACTACTTAAATATCTCATCAGAGCACAAAGAGCAGATAATTCAATTGCATGATTATCTGAGAGACACACATATGCATATGTGTACTTGTATAAGCACGTATGTGTGTCCTTATGTTTGAGAAAGTCTACCTGTAATTGTAATATGTAACTTCTATTGCTACTACTACTACTACTACTACTACTACTACTACTACTACTACTACTACTACTACTACTACT